CTCAAGGTCGGTAGGCCGTTCATTGTTGACCTCATCAACTGGTAGAATTGTACACATAACACATGCTCTCTACACAGGTTAACAATCTGACTCCCTAGACCAGAGCATTCAGGAGTTCAGTCCTCAAAGCAAAGTCCTGGTATTTCTTTGCCCGATTGCTTCGGTGAGCTCCTTATTGAGGCCTATGCAATGGGGGAAAAATGTTGATGATATAATTTTCAGCAGAAAAAAAGGGAGACCAGACAGCTTATGCTCACTAGGATGACAAATATGCTGGCAAACATTGGAAGTTAATATGTTATGGTAAAAATGGCTTTATTAAGATGCTGGGAGTTTTCCTCTTCTCAGCATCTACTGTTAACCATTATGACGTCACTGCTTCAGTGAGATTCTTTCATAATAAAAAGACACGTACTGAGCAGATGCTAATAGGGACAGTATGCTCTCTGTTTTGTCACTTTCCATCAAGCTGTCTGTGGCATCTGTCACTGCAGTAGTCCTTCAGATAAGCTCCATGGAGCTCTGTGTCCTTGCCAAAGGACAGGGAACTGTGAAAAGCATATGGTGGAAAAGGGCTGCCTCAAGTTGCAGAATCTGTGCTCCAGAGTTGCTTGGCATTGAGTTTCAATCCTGGCTCCGCCCCGTGAGACCTCAGACAAGTGACTCGAACTCTGAGACTCAGTTTACTCCACTGACAAGTGAGGATAATAATAGGGCCCACCAAGTTGGTTTCTTGTGCCTGTAAACTGCGTAATGCACAGTAAATGCTCAAGATACATGAGCTATTGTGACTCACCTACCAGTTCGCATGGCGTCATTGATCACTTCTTTTCTTTCCTTTCCAACAGCTGGGACATTTTTCTGATGATCATCGCCGGCATGAAGCTGTTGCGGACGGCTTTCTGTAACCCAGTTCACCAGTTTATCCACTTGAGCTTTACTGTAATCTTTTTCCATTTTGACTACAAAGATATTTCAGAGAGTTTCTTACTGGATTTCTTCATGGTGTCCATTTTATTTAGCAAGGCAAGTTCATTAGCTATCATCTTCATTTTAAAATTTAAAAGGTGCGTTTCTTATCAAATGTTTTGAGAGTTTTCAACATTGTCTTTTTTAAAAAATTGTAGAATGAAATTAAATTGAATTAATATGCGTGTTACATGCCTGCTGCCATTTTAGGGACATTCGTCATGGAATAGAAATATACCATGTTATTTGCCAAAAATCACTAATTAAAATGAATTAGCCATTAGTGTTGCTTGAAATTTTATGATCTTGTCTCTGTTAACAATCTCATTATGGAACTTCCCTAGGTCTCAAATGCTCTGAATTCAATTAAAGATGAGCTACCAGACTAATTTTTTTTTTCTTTTACTTAGCTAGGATTTTGCCTCTTGGGGTCAAATTTGAGACCTGGTACCCTAGAGCCGAGTCCTCGGAGTATTTTCATTCCCTTAGCTATTCTCAGGTCAGGATTCCATCTATTGAAAATTCATCCATGGGCAATGAGAAATCACAATTCAAGCAAATCTATGAGGATGGTGTCCTCACGCCTCCCTCATAACATGAGGGAGAGAAGGGCCTCTGTATACCCGCCTGAGTATGTTCGGAGCACTGAAACAAGGCTCCGGTTTGTAAACAGAAATGAAAAGGAATTTGGAACAGTTCTGGTAAATAAGCTCAGTGACCCCACAGGTCCTTTCCCGTCGGCCTCCTCCTGCACTCAGTTCAATGCAGCAGCCAGGGGCTTTCTGCCCTGAGAGGGACATAGCCACAACTTCCCCTGTTGGTTAATAATTTTTAAATTTTAAGGTTTTCCTCCTGAACTTAGTTTTTACCTTTTTTTGAATCACTTCTGTTAATTTTTCTCTTTATTACTTATCTTTTCCATCTACTGACTTTCTCTCTGCCTGTTTTAGGTAACAAAAATTTGAAACTCTCATGTTTTAAGGAATATGAGAAGCGCCATAAGTAACTGTGATCACCCCATCACTGCCTGCACATTTCCTCTTATAACGCTGGTAGAACACTGAATTTTCAGTTGTCTAAGTCCCTTCTGCATCATTTGTCACTTGCTTCTTACTATTACTTCTGCAGTTTCCGTATCTTATTCCAGAAGCCTGGCCTTCGCCCTTTACCTCCAAACATTTGTTCTCTTGTTTGTCTGCGTTCTATCTGGTCTTAATAAACTTTTCCCATTTTTCTGATGGTTCAAATCACAGGCTTCCATATTCTGTTATCCTTCATTATATATAAATTCCCATTATCTCACATAATAAATGTAAAATTATATCCTATGATCTTTAAAGCATCTATAAAGTTATTATAAATAATTTTACTACATGTGGAGGTAAGAGCTTATTATCCGATGCAAAACATGCTGTGATGAATTGAATTCCTGACCCTGACCTTGTTTATATTTTGACATGGTGATATTTATATTGCTTTCTGAACCTGTTTCTTGAAAATTGAAAATAATGATGCCAAGCTCACCCAGGTGTTGAGAGGATTAATTACTGTAACTATAAAAGAAGTTTTTAAGTAGAATGTGCTTTCCAAATACAAGGCAGAATTTTTAAAGCCTTTGTAAGTAGAGAAAGATCATTTTTCTTTTTAAACACACTGCGTGCTACGTGAGGAGTGTGACCAGCTTCCGCAGCGAACTGTCCACCTGAGTATCATCTTATAAAGTGAGAGGTGCTGGGTGAACAAAAGCACAGCCGAGTGCCGTGAGGGTTTGGCTGTGCAAGTCTTCAGAACACGGCTTATAGTGATTCTACATCTGTGATAGGAGAGTGATTTTCATTTTCTGGGGCTCAGGCGTCTTTCCCCACTGAGCTGCCTGCTGGTCAACGGAGAGCAGGGCACTGCTGAAAGTATGCGGCCAGATGCAGGCGTCTGGATGACGAGGCTTGCTGGGGTGAAAAAAGGAATTATGCGTAGCTGTTGTCATTCTTCCCGTCCAGGAGGACACAGTGCCGTCCTGTGGGTAACAGGGCGGGGGGGACCTGACGGGACACAATCTGAAACTAAATCCATAAAAACTTAGTTGCTGTAGGCGTTTGCCGTTCACTTGCCATAATCTTTTTGAAACATCAAATAAAATACTAATAATTTCAGACAGAACTGTAGTAGCAGCATTCTTATTTTCTCTAATTGAGGGAACATTAGCACACATAATTTGAATAGTCTACTTTTGGGCTGGGGCTAATAGCTGAGTCTAAAAGCAAAAGAAAGCAAAGCAAGTGAGACAAAAGCTAGAAAAATTAACATACCGTCGAGTGAGTCAGTCCTGACATATCCCAACTCTTTCTGACGCCTGCTGACTCTTTATCTTGGGAGAGCCGGCAGCAGTGCATCTTCCGGAATGAGAAACAAGATCTGATTCCCTGATAAAAAATATACTTTAAGCATTTGAGATCTTCCTGGAAACAAAGCCAGTAGAAATTACTGACAGAAGACGGTGGTGGCAATGAGGGAGCCCACAGTTACTGTTTCCTGTAAATGTCCTGCCTGCAAATCCCAACTGATGCTTCCTGTACATTATCCTCATTTTAATATATCTTTAAAAAAATTGTCTCTATTAATATATTTCCTAGAGACTTTCTAGAAACCTCCAATATTGTTTTTGCAAGGAATACTGCTCTTTAGGGTTCTTCATTGCACAATAGGAAATTTTATTTATTCACTAGGCTCATTAGAGTCCTGCTTATGACATGTCCTCTCATCTGGCCATTTCAGAATCTCTATGCCCTTTTCCCCAGCCCTGCTCCTGTTCTGCTAAATAGAGAGTCATTGTATGCCTGGCAGCCACGTCACGGAAGGGCTGCAAGATTAATGAAGAGACCCGGGAAGGGCATCCAGGTTCCTCGGAAGAAGGGAGCTGTGTGAATATAGGACTCCTTATTATAAGTTTGTTGCCCCTCATCCTCCAGGCTTTATCGGTAGTAAGATAGGAGAGATGCGATTAAAGAGATGATCTACAGAGTGAGGTCAAAGCACCAGGAGGCCAGAGAATACAATAGGTGGCTTCCAGAGGGCATTGCCTGCGTGTTATCCCTTGCCTCCCTGACTCCTCGAATTCCCCCTGAGGTCTGGAAGATGGATGTCGACTAGTCTCTTCAGTCTGGCAGACCTTGTGAAAAATGGGAAATAATGAGTTCCAGGGCCAGAGTCCAACGGGGAAGGTTAAGTGCAGCTTATGCATTGACGTGGTGCATGGGACGTTCATCATGGATGGTGTCCTGGGCTCGCATGTCGGGGCCAGAGGGAAAGAACAGCCCCTGCATATCATAGCCTGAGATGTGATGCTCCAGCCACACACCCCGTGTGGCTCATCGCCTTTGAGAAGTGAGGTCCATCTTTCCTTGGTGCCTCATTCTCTCAGTCCCTTTCCTCTCTCTCTTCTGCCCATTAGACATTCTTCTACGAACTAACCACTGTAATGGATTTGCACCATTTCTGTGCTGCCTAGATCTTTGGTGGACAGTAAGATATGCTCCAGGTGAAGCCATTTGGTTGCAAGGAATATTTGGTTGTGACAGAAACAATGATGACAAAGTTCTTTCATGCTCTCCCACTGGTCTTGAAAGAGTTCTTAGGAACTATCTTGTCTTGAAATTTTTAGTAATTTTTAGTTGTAGAAGCAGGACTTGAAAAAATCCTGCCAGAGGATAATTCTGCCAGCATTTTCAGAATGCATTAAATATGAAATTCTACAGGCCATTAGTTCAACACGGGGGCTACTAGCACTTTTACCATTTAGGAAATTTAAATTAATGGGTGATGTTGTTTTTATGTAAAGTTGTGTGAATAATCACACCATAGTCATGATGAGTGGCTATTTTATGGATGGCTGCAGTTAGCATTCAAATTATTTGAAATCAGAGTTTCTACATGGCATTTTTCTATATTTTCTGTATGCAAGTGGAAAGTCTTGCATTAAAATACAACCATTTTGGGGGGAATGCATGCTTTTACAGAAGTGTTTATTAAAAATATTTTGTTCAAAAAAGTAATTGTTTATTGAGCATCTCTTAAGTGTCAGGCATTGTACTAGGCACAAAGATTACTAATAATACGAATGATAGCAAATCCTTATTTGGTGCTTTCCATGGGCCGGGTACTGTTTTCAGCACTTTGCACATATTGACCGCATTGATCCTCACAGCAACTTTGTAGGTGGGTGCTCTTCATCGTTAAAGTGAGAAAACAGAGGCAAAGAAATTAAGTTAATTGCCAAAGGTCTCACAGCTATTAAATGGTAGAGCAGATTTAATAGGCTGTACTTTGTGATGCTGCTTCCCTTGCTTGGGGAATCTAGAAGGAAGACAGGTAGGTAAAGAGTTAATTGCAGTAAAGTATGATAAGGACGGTGGCCATGGCGGAGAATTTCAAGAGCACACATAAAAGCAGTACCCAATCCCACCCGGAAGACTCAGAAATGATGATGCTTACCTTGAACTTTGAAGAGTGAGGGAGTGATTCAGACAAGGAAGGCAGGGAAAAGGGAGCTATGGAAACCACCTGTGCAAAAGCACAGAAGCAAGAGAGTTTAGCATGTTCTGGGAACTGCAAGATATTTGGTAAGTGTGACGACATGGGGAGGAGAGTGGTGAGAGATGAAACTGGAGGTGATGTCATAAGTCAGATCACAAAGGGCCAAGCATGCCACACTTCTGAGTTTGGACTTTATTATTGCATCAGCTGAAGGTTGATAAGTAGAGGAGTAACAGGATCAGAACTGCATTTTAGAAACAACTCTGAGTAAGTAAAAGATGAGAAAGCATGGAGTCTTGGAAATTGGAGAGTATTGTAATAATCCAGGCAACTCATAAGGAAAGCCTGAACTTTGGTGGCAGAAGTGAGGACAAAGAGAGGGGGACAGATTCAAGAGGTATTTAGGAGATAGAGTTGATAACATTCAGCGACCATTAGGATATTGGGGGAAGTGGACTGTGGGAGGAAAAGCTACATCTGGGAGAACTTTCGGATCACGTACTCTAGTGACTAGGTGGTGTCATTAACTAGATGAGGGGAAAAAAAAGAAAGACATTTTGGAGAAAAAGAATGTTTATTTTAGATGTGTTGAATTGTGAAATGAGAAGCAATGAGTACCAATAGTAAAGACCTAGGGAACAGGATTGTTTCCCATTTAAATATTTTAATTTACATAAGTAATACATAAATGTATGCAAGTTGTAATAAAGTTGAAAAAATACAGAGAAAATCTGTCTTTATACACATCTCTCACTCCTTAACTCCTTATCTCCCTAATGATAATCATTGTAAGCATTTCAGAATAATTTCTTCCATTCTGTTTTCTGCACATTTCCACACATACACACACACAAATTTAAAATATTAATAGGATCATTCTTTACATATTTTTTTCCTTCCCTTTTTTTGCTTAAAAATATATCTTAGAGAAGTTCCATGACAGTATGTATGACAATGCCTCTGCCTTTTAAGACCTGCATAATATTCCATAGCACATACCATAATTTGACTAACCATTCCCAAATCGATAGACATGTAGTTTGTTTTCAGGGTTTTTTCTGTAGTAATTGAGATTTCTATGTTCACAAACTCCAGGAACCTAAATGAAAATGGCTTAATAAAAAAAGAAAATTTAATAGTTCACATAACTGGATGGATGATTCAGAGGCTTAAATGCCATCAAAATTCTGTTTTTATTTCACATTCTTGCCCATCTGTTGACTGTCCTCTCTGTTGGCTTCATTCTTAGATTGGCTCTATCCACATGGTGTAACTATGGTCACCAGCAGTTCTAGGTTTATGGCAATCTTACAGCTAATAATCCCAGAGAGAAGAGAAAGCATCTTTCCTGATAGTTTCCGCCAAAGTCCTGGGGGAGCGTCTCATTGACTTTTTTTGTGTGATGTGTTCATCCATGGACCAGGTACAGTGGCCAGAGGGGTGCAAGTCCTCTAGTCAATGAGACCTGGGTCTCTTGCCTGCCCCTTGAGTCCTAACCAAACTACAGGCACTGGGGGTCAGGGAGGGAAGAAAGAGGGCAGACAGGAAGTGTCTGATGCTACTGCATTTGACCACACAAAGATCATAATTAACATCCTGGTGCTCATGAGTGCTTCAGAAACTTAGATTCCTAAAGGGAATAGCTGGGTCAACAGGACATACATGAAAGAATCTCAGTAGAGAATCCTTCCAAAAGACTTACATTGCCTTCAACAAGGATTACCCAGCATTTAGGAAACAAGTAGAGGAGGAAGATGTGACAAAAGAGATTGAGAAGTGACCCATGACACAAGAAGTAAAGTCTAATGATAAGAAAGAAAGCAGTTTTAAGAAAGAGGGACTGGTGAACAATATCAGAGGCTTCACAGAGGTCAAAGCCCAAGACCAAAAGGTAGCCACTGGATTCAGCGATGGAGAAGTCATTGATGAGATTGCTGACACGTGGACCTGGCAGGGGTCATGTCAGTTCTTCAAGGTCGGGGATCCTATGTTATCTTTTGTATCCTCTGTGCCTACTGCAGTGATCTTGGTACAGTGCCTCAATGCCTGTTTAGAATGACCGAGTATCTCACTGATCACAGGTCAGTGTATGTAAATGTGGCTATTGTGGGGAACATTATAGCGTGCTATTCAGTGAAGCTGTCTTTAAGAGAAAACTCCGCAACAACCCCCACTTTAGGGCTGTTGATACTTTATTGGCTTATAAGAGGTAAAGCCTTTAGACACGATATTCCCCTTATGTATAAAAGATTTAGTCCACTGCCCTTGCCAGGCATAAACATGCTAAATATGTGATGTGAAGGGCTAGTGTACAACGTTTGCTTAATGCCGCCATCTCTAGATTTACAGTGTAGGGCTTGATACTTAATACGAGAATTGCATTCTTAGGCATCTCCAGCCAGGAAATCATGGACAACGAATGTTACTTCTCTGGTGCCCTTCGCTTCAGCATGGCTTCCCGCTGCCTCCTCTGAGTTTCTAGATGCTAACATGTGCACCCGCCTCCTTCACAGAGTCATTATGTAGACTAATTCTCACTATCCTGAAATAAACCAGTGGTTGTAGCATCTCTGCATTATCTTTTTGCTAAATAATGTTGACTGATGCTCCATTTTCCACCTTCAGTTTATTTTTAGCTCACTTTCCTTCACTGAGTGGAAGAATGGACTTATCAGGTTTATTGATCTTTTTCATAATTTTGGAGTCTTTAGTAAGGTCACCTTGCAGGCTCATATAGATTAGACTAACTCCTGTAATAACATTAATTCATAAGGCCTGGAGTGATCTTTATAACCTGCGATGCCCTATCTTCAAGGAAATGAAGTCTGCTCTGATAAAACTTTTAAGTCATCTGCAACTTTCTGTAGGAAATCTATCTGGATCATACTGGCAGCCTGTCATTTAAAAGTATTGATGAGAAAGAAATGGGGAGAGAGAAAAGGAAAACAGGAATGAGTGGGAAGGGGGATCAGTGCAGTAGGAACTTTATACAGTATCTGTCTAAATTTGGCAGATGGTTGGTTGGTTAACTGAAAAACTTAAGCAGGAAATAATAATAAATGATACCTACATGTACCGATCTTTATAATTTTATAGTAGCTTGAAACTTATAATGAACTCTTGTTACCAGTTTTTTGAGGGAGAGCAGAGCCTTTTCTTTGGGTGGGAATCTACTGAATTATGCTCTTATTGCATGAACCATGCCTGTAATATGTTTCTAGGATGTTCTGTTTCTGTTTTTTAAGTTCTACATGAAGTGAGAAGTTGAAGTTATTTGTGAAGTATTCTGAGAGCAGTTCACATTTTCTTTGTTCCCAAATCTCTTCTCATTCATACCCAAGTCCACGGCAATATCTTTAGAGACTTGTGTTCATCAGGTCATTAGCACTTCACTTCGTTGTGATAGAAGCAACTCTCTTTCGTTTGTACTCGTATTGCATCAGTTTGTATATTTAGTTGAAGTACAAAATCATTATAGTGACAAGTGAAACTGATATAAACGGTTTTGGCAACAAGTATAACCATGTCTTGTTAAGCATAACCACCATTCAATGCAAGTGGTAGAATTGGTCAAGAGTGTACAAATGAATGAAAAAATGACTTCCTGGCCTTGAGAACTCATTGGATTGTGGGATTCATCAATAACTCTTATAGAGCAAATATAATGTCAATTAATCTGAAAGTTAATTAGATGGATTTTTAAAGGAAAGTTTCTACTCCAGTAAGATAAGTAGGAGAATTACATTTGCTTTGAGGTTGGGTTACCGGTGTTCTGGGAGGTGCTAAGCCCAAACAGAAGCAAAGAGGCTTGAAGTATCTCATTATACAGCAGAGAGAATTAGATTCAACAGTTGTTATTTACTGACTACTAAGTATGCTGTCTAAGGAACTGAGATGCTTTGGCAGAAATGCCCTCTTAGAGCATTTCTAGTGGGGCAGATGGAATAGTTACAGATAGCAAAGAGTTAAGTTACATCATCAGGCACTCTAAAATTCTGATTGCTTTCTCAGCTCCTTATGCAGAGATCAACCTTTGAAAATATAACGAGTGTCTACTCAATTTTCGCCACCTCCACTGCTGCCATTTTGGTTCTAGCATCATCATCTCTCACATGGGTTACTGGCCTTGCTGTTTCTACCCTCATTACCCTACAGCGTATTCTAAACAGAGTGGCCAGAGGAGTTTGTTTGTTTGAAGTAAACTTATTTTGGAATAATTTTACATTTGTAGAGAAGATGTGAACTTAGAGTTTCCACACACCATATACTCAGTTTCTCCTATTATTAACATTTTACATTAGTTTAGTGCATTTGTCACAATTAATGAACTAAAATTGATCTTTTATGATTAACTAAAGTCCGTATGTTCCATATGTAATTCAGACTTCCTTAGTTTTTCTGTAATGTTCTTTTCTCTTTGCGGAGTCCACCTAGGAGGCCACATTGCATTTAGTTGTCATGTCTCCTTAGGCTCCTCGTGGCTATGACCCTTCTCATATTTTCCTTGTTTTTGATGACCTTGACAGCTTTAAGGAGCACTGGTTAGGTGTATTGTAGGATGTCCTTCTAGTAGATGTTTTCTCATGTTAAGACTGGACTTACAGGTTTCTGGGAGGAACACAACAGAGATAAAGTGCCGTTCCCATCACATCATATCAATGATTCATGCTAGCAACGTGACATCACTGCTGATGTTGCCCTTGAACTTGCCTTAGGGAGTATTTGTCAGGTTTTCCACTGTAAAGTTACCTTTTTGTCCATCTTTCCGTATTCTTTGGAAGAAAGACACTATGTGTAGCCCATGTTTAAACAGTGGGGACTAATGTTCCACCTCCTTGAGGGGGAGTGTCTACATAAATTGTGTGATTTATTTTTAAAATACTTTGATTCTTCTGCATGGGAGATTTGTTACATCTATCTATCTATCTATCTATCCATCATGTATTGATTGATCTATATCAGTATGGAGTCATAGGTATTTATTTTATATTTTGGGTAATAATACAAAATTACTGTACTCATCTGTTGCTCTTTTGGCTATTTGGTGCTGTTTCACTTGGTTTCTATGTCCCTACCTTTGACGTAAGCCCATCATTTTGCGTGTGTGTTTTAGCACTTTCTTGCTTTCTGACATTATAAGATGTTCTAGGCTTGTCTTCCATATTTCCTGCCTTAGTCATAGAATTGGCCGTTTCTCCAAGGAGCCCTGCTTCCTTTTATTAGAGAATGATATTTAGAAATCAAAATCTGGACTCTAGTGTGCTTG